AAATATATTTTTAACATGCAAAATGGTTGTTGCATGCACATTAACCGTTTATTTTAAGTACGCAATATGGCTTGTTGCATGCACATTAAGTTTTGTGCACAGAAAGATCATGTTTTGAGCATGCAAAATTACAGGTTGTGTGCAAAAAATGTTCTGAGCGTGCAAAATGGCTTGTTTACGCATGTGCGAACAATTCTGAGCACAAAGGATCATGTTCTGAGTGCGCAAAATGAATCGTTATGCACACGGTAACAATTTTGTGTGCTAAGAATCAAGTTTTGTGCATGCAAAATTACTTGATTGTTAACAATTCTGTGTGCTAAAGATCATGTTTTGAGCATGCAGAATTAGATGTTGCATGCATGTTAACAATTCTATGCACAAAGGATCATGTTTTGAGCACGCAGAATGGCTTGTTGCTTGCGCGTCCACAATTTCGGGTGCAAAAAAATCATGTATTGACTGTGCAAAATGTCTTGTTGCTCTCTTTTTAACTCAGTTTGGAGGTTTTCGTGCTCCCTTAGGACAGAAATCCAGCCAATCACAATTTAGCAACAATCTGATTGGCTGGATTTCTATCATATTGTAACAACCACAGAAACATCAAAGCTGAGTTGACAGGCATGCAACAAGTCATTTTGTGTGCTCAAAACAGAACTGTGGCACAAATATAACTCCATAGTCTGGTGCCTGAGAGATAAAGTGAGTGTGAAGTGAGCGGAGTAAAGAGCTCGTGCCTTACTGTGACGACTGACACCATCACAACAGCTCAGAGATTATGCAGAACACAACACTTATGCAATTGTGTGTGATGTGCTGTTGTAGATGTCGCTTTGTACTTTTAGTCTGAGCACAGCTGACAGAGCTGCTGCGTTTATTACTGCTACACACACTCCAAAAAATGCTGGGTCATCATAACCCAACACTGGGTCAAATATGATGAACCCAATGTGGGTTAAATTTTCAGTTCAATTTTAATGACAATTCTTAACTTAACTGATGGGTTTGTCCATATGACCCAAGATAAGATTAAACCGACTGCATTTTGTAGTCTCTCGCCTTCACAAAGATCTTAGAAACCCTTTCTTTCTTTCTTTCTTTCTTTCTATAAATGATGTTGGGTGTTGCACTGATGATGTGTCTCTCAGAGAGCGTCAGCTCACTTCCAGCATCAGCATGTGCTTTGTGGATCCAGTAAGCAGCGCTGAACCCACATTAAAAGTAAAATACTGCAGTCATCTGTAGTGAATACTGGCAAATGTTTTTAAAGCGTACTGTAGAAAGGAACTTAACCATTTAGAATCTGTTGTGGTGATTCTACAGTTGCTATGGTAACACAACAACTACAGTAATCAATGTTGTGTTTATTCTACAGTTGCTATGGTAACACAACAACTACAGTAATTGATCTGTTGTGGTGATTCTACAGTTGCTATGGTAACACACCCACTATAGTAGTTAACCTATTGCTGTGGTTCTACAGTTGCTATGGTAACACAGTTACAGTAATCGATGTGTTGTGGTGATTCTATAGTTGCTATGGTAACACAACTACAGTAATCGATGTGTTGTGGTGATTCTATAGTTGCTATGGTAACACAGTTACAGTAATCGATATGTGGTTATTCTATAGTTGCTATGGTAACACAACAACTCGTAATATAAACAAATGAGCCAATACTGTAGTTTTCGACAAGATTAGCGTACATTATACTTTAATACAGCACAGTTTACTGTAGTAAAATCAATAACAGTATTCATTACAGTTGATCAGTTGACTATAGTTAATATTACAGTACGCTGGAGCATTCATTAACACAGAACTGTACATGCTATAATATATACAGTACAGTATAATACATTTACTATAGTATTTACTGTAAATTACTATAGTATTTTTGATGGGTTATGCAGAGATCAGCAATGATGAGTGTTTGACACTTTATATATATATATATATATATATGAAAATGAGATGTAAACTGAAAATATTAGTCACCGAGTGACGCGGTCCGTCATTTCATGATTGATTTATACTGTAGGATGAGTACAGATGAAACACCTTACAGCCTTTGAATGTATTGAAGAGTTTGAGGTTGAACACAGCAACAAAAATCTGTTCTTACTTGGAGATTTTCTCTTGTTTCTAGTTCAAACATCTAAACATTCTTAAATCAAGAAGCATTTTCTAGACAAGCAACATTTTCTGTCAAAATCAAGTGCATTTCTCCTTAAAATTAGCAAAATAATGGGCAAAAACAAGATTATTTTTCTTGTTTTAGGAAGAAACTGACTTCATTTTGACACATTTTCAAAACAAACAAGATAATTGTGCTTCTTTTTATGAGAAGCTAGCTTAATTTGGACATTTGAAAAAGAAAATACTCTCTTTTAATGGAAAACTCATTTCATTTAGACGTTTTTGTTAGTTATTTTAAACATTTTTTACTGCTTTTTTAAGGAGATGCTAGCTTAATTTTGGATTTTTAATATATATTTGTTTGTATTCTTTTGTTTTTTTCTTGTTTTGATGAGAAACACAATTTTGACATTTTCTTTACTCTTTTTAAAAATTATTTTGCCAGTTTTAACAAAAAACACGGATAATTGTTTATCATTATTTATCTTAATTTAATGGTAAACTAATTTAATGTGAATATTTTCTACCTTTTAAGATTGTTTTGCTTGGTTTTAAAGAAAAGTTCACTAAATTACGACCCTTTTACGCTTATTTTTAGATTTTTATTATTATTTTGCTTGTTTAAAAGAGAAACTCACTTCATTTTGATGCTTTCTGTACTTTCTTTAGATTATTTAGTCAGTTTCAACAACAACAAAAAAAATATATTTTTTATAATTATCTTGCTTAATTTAATGAGAAACTAATTAAATGTTATTATTTTTAACTATTAAGATTTATTTTTTGCTTGTGTAATAAAGAAATTCACTTAATTTTGATGTTTTCTGTACGTTTTTTAGATTATTTTGACCATTTTTTAAAAACACAACAACAACATAATTGTGATTTTTTAAATGTAATTATTTTGCTTCATTTAATGAGAAACTGGTTAGATAATAATATTTCTAACTTTTAAGATACAGTAGTTTTGCTTGTTTTTAATGAATTTCTTGCATAATTTTGACCCTTTTACACTTATTTTAGATTTTTATTATTATTTAGCTTGTTTGAAGAGAATCACACTTTATTTTGACGTTTTCTTTACTTTTTTTTAGATTATTTTGCCAGTTTAAAGAAAAAAAATCACATCATTTTTTAAGATTATTTTGCTCCATTTAATGAAAAACTAATTCAATATTTGTTTTGTTTTTGCTTGTTTTTAAGGAAAAGCTCACTCAATTTGACCCTTTTTAAAACTTACTTTAGATTTTTATTATTTATTAGCTTGTTTTAAAGAGAAACTCTCTTCATTTTGTCTCTAAAACACCACACAAAATACTATTTGTTTTAAAAAAATGCTTCTTGATTTATGAATCTGTAGATATTTGCACTGTAACCAACACAACACCTGTAAGTAATGCACTCTTTTGTTGTTGTTGTTGCCGTGAAGGTAAATGGTCTTCTCCAGACAGATCCTCATGTCTGCTGTTGTTTTTGTGATGCTGATGGAGATGATTCTGCATTAATAATCTGCATGCTGTTCTTCTCAGATGTGCTCTGCGTACTGTACTGTACTGTACTTTACTGTACGTGTGTGTAAATAATGTCAGCACTTTATCAGCTCTCCAAGAGCTTCGACAATCAGAGCTGGAGCTTCTCGATGCTTTGCTTTAAAGACTGTATAGAGTTAGTTCCTTCTGAAGTTTATAATGAACCACTCGACTGCTTTTGTATTAAATGAAATAATAATTCTGCCTCCTGCTACACGTCACCAATAAATCTCTTTCATTCCCAGAGTCCCGTTTGCATTTATATGCTCACCAAACCTGCATTTATTCAGTAGAAATTACAGGAAAAATACTCAAAAATCAGAAATATTTTTATTATTTAAACAAGCTAGTTTCTGTTCGAATATTAATTATATTTGAATTGTTTTTGTCATTTGAAAGCTGACTTTTCTGTATAGCATCATTACTCCAGTCACGAGATGCTTCTAATAATCATGTTTTGTTCATTTTTCAAGTATATTTATCAAGTATATATTCTTATTCTTCTATTTCATATACAATTTGCATATTTTTATGTTAGTTTATTTTATTTATCATGTTGTAAATGTGGATAAGGTCGTTTTTTCAGCTTTCTTTGATGAAGAACGACATTTATTTGAGATAGAATTATATCTGTGACATTATGATTGTTTATCGTCGTTTACCCATTTGAAATCATCCTTAACAAGTATAAATATTAATTATATGTTTAAATTTTTTTAACCTTTTTTATGACTTCAAGCAAATGTGGACGTAGCATGTGTGCGCATGCGCAGTGTCTCCACTGTTTACCAGTTTTACATGGGATACAGCTGCGGATTTCACGTTAGTATATTTTTTAAAATAAATAATAAACTGTACAACTATAATTCATATTTTTACATTACTATGAGGGGTAGATGTTGGGTTGGGATAGTTGTAAACGTTAATAAAATACAATTTAATGTGTAATATAATAAATAATATAAATAATTCTCGTTATACCTGTGTTTACACTACTATGAAGGGTCAGTTTAGGCTGAAATGGGGGTATAAGTTAATAAAATACAATTAGTTGTTGATAGTATGAACTATTCTCATAATAAGTACCGTTTTTAAATTACTATGACGGATAAATTCAATTAATTGGTAATTAATAGTATACATAATTCTTGTTATAATGACTGATTTTACATTACAGTGAGGGTTGGGTTTAGGATTGGAATGGGGGCATATAATAAAACACAATTAATCGGTATTTTAATAAATAAAAAATAATAATTCTCATTAGCCTCCGGCCGCAGCTGTATCCCTTCTAGCAACAACCCCAGCAGATGTCGCTGGCAGAAATGACGACGCGCTTTTCCGCTTCAAAACAAGCATGAGCGTCACTTCCTGCTGAAGTTCAGCGCGGCTTCGTGCTAACATGAGTTTGAGAAGAGCAGAATAAATTCATCCGTTTATTAATAACAGCTTTATTATCTTCACATCGAGCTATTATTGGTGTTGACGGTGTTGGCGGGAATCTTCGCAAAGATGGCCGACGATCCGGACTCCATTCCTGAGAGAGAGATGAAGGTGAGCATTAGCAGCAGAACGCAGAGAATATTGATATTATTATGTTATTATTAATAATATTAGTCTCTCTGTATGTGGTTGAGTTAGTTGTATATAATCTATATTGACGGTGAGAGTTCCTGCAACTCGCGTGTGAATGTTTCCCCACGTGAATAAATAAACGATAACGTACTATTGTAAAGTGTATTATACTGTATATGTTATATTATCTACAACTCTTTGTTAATGAATGTTCCTACATACTGTAGTAGTAACTATAGTGAACTGATAAAGTAATAAATACTGTAGTATACTTAAGATTTTACTATAGTAACCTGTGGTGTATTGTAATGCACGTTAATGTAAAGTTACCCTGTACAGCTGTAGTAAACTACTATAGAATCACAACAGATTTATTCAGGTACTTTTACTATAGAATGGTTCAGAAAGTCAATAGTATTTACTGTAAATATCTTATTCAAGTGTTTCGCTTGACGTAAGAAGTATTGATCAGCCTTTAACTGACGCACTTTCACTTTTGTTTTAATTAAGTGATGACATAAACAGGTTGATTATTCATTTTTACTTTATTCATATTTTATAATTATTATCAGTCCAAAGCGGCTTTTCAAGAAGATTTACAATATTACTACAGTTAAAAGCAGAAGTTTACATGCGTGTACCAAAAGGCACATAACCATTTTAAAAAAGTAGATGATAATAAGACTTAACTTTTTCTCTTAGGTAAGTTTAGGTGTGTTTCTGTCCTGCTTAACAGCAGAATAATGAGAGAGATATTGTTTGAGAAATATTTATAACTCTTCTTGAAAGTCAAGTTTACACATAGTAAGATTATTCTGCCTGTGATAAAGCTCAGATGATGATGTCAGGGTTTTGGAAGTTTCTGATTGGCTGATTGACAACATTTGAGTTAATGTAAGGCACAACTGTAGAATAGTATTGACTCAGTGCTCAAACACACTGCTTCCTTGTGTGACAACATTGGAAAATCAACAAGCCAGAATCAACAACAAAGCCAGATTACCATTAGCTGAATGACACTGGGAATAGACTGATGTGTGGAGACATGTGCTGTGCTCTGATGGAGCTAAGATTGAACTGTTTGGCCACAATGAGCAGTGTTACATTTGGAGGACAAAGGGGAAAGCGCACAAGCCTAGAACACCATCCCAACTGTGCAGTATGGGGGTGGCAGCATCATGTTGTGGGGCTGTTTTGCTGTTTTGCTGCAGGAGGGACTGGTCCACTTCACAGCATAGATGGCATCATGAAGACAGAACATTATGGAGAAATACTGAAGCAACATCTCAACACATCAGCCAGGACATTACCACTTGGCCACAAATGGCTCTTCTGAACAGACCATGACCCTAAACACACTGCCAAATCAGTTCAAATGTGCCAACAGAGTGAATGTATTGAATTGGCCATCACAAAGCCCTGATCTCAATCCTATAGAGAATGTGTGGGCAGAGTTGAAGAAGAGTGTGTGAGCAGAAAGCCTACAAATCTGACTCAGTTACAGCAATTCTGTCAGGAGGAATGGACCAAAATTCCTGTAAACTAATGTGAGAAACTTGTGGAAGGAGACCCAAAACACTTGACCAAAGTTATACAGTTTACAAGCAAAACTAAAATACCAAGGAAATGTGTGCAAACTATTGACTGTCTAGAAATTAATAACAAATTCTCTCATTATTCTGGCATTTAGCAAATTAAATCATTTAGTTAATCCTAACAGACTTAAAATATTAAACATTTATTATGAGTTACCATCAGAGATTTTTACAAAAATGGTTATGCTGCTTTTTTTAGAGTGTATGTAAACCTCTGCTTTCAACTGTATATTGCAGTCAAAATTAGAAAAACGCAGGGCTTGTGTGTAAGTTGCACAGTATATAAACACTAAAAACATCAACATGTGCTGGAGTTTATGAAATGTCAGATGTTCTGGTTGTTTATTATTTCACACATCACAAACCTCAGCATGCAGGAGCCAGATGCAGCTTCCCTTCAGATTCACATGCACAGAAGTTCAATTCAGTCTGATCGGCTGGTTAGTTGAGTGTAATAGATGCTATGTGTAAGCTGTTACTAACACACACACACACACACACACACACACACACTCTCTGCTGCTGTGCTCTTCTGAATGTGTCCAGGACTTCCAGTTCCGTCAGATGAAGAAGATCCGTGTGTTTGAGTCGTGTGCGGATCTGCCGAAGGAGCGCTGCAGTCTGCTCTGCGTCTCCAACAGGTACGGCCTGACCATCGCCGGCCGAGAGCGAACGCTGAAGCTGTTCTGGACCAGAGACGTGATCGCAGCCGGACGCACAGAGGGAAACCCTAATGACACCGGTGTGTGTGTTTCTGTCTGTGTATCATTTCTCTATCTGTCTTTGTTTGAGTATGTGTGTGGTGACTCTGCTCAGACTGTGTTCGCTCAGACTCAAACTCATGTGTGTGTGTTCTCAGTGGAGTGTGCGTGCGCAGTGACAGCAGATATGGACGTGTGTCTCCATCATATTTCTCTGAGCAGTGATGAGCTCAGTCTGTGTGTGTGTGGATCGGGAGACGCTGCGGAGCTCATCATGCACTTCTACGACATGCGCAGCTTCCTCAACAAGGTCAGTGCTCGCTCTTTACACTTCACATGACTCCGCTTGTGTCAGTCGATGATTTACATCTCAAACATGATCAGCGTCTGCAGTGCATGATGGGAAGTGCAGCTGTTAGACTGATTTCTTTTTAATCGTTATTATTACTTTGAATAATAGACAGTATTTAATATTTGTACTGCTTTTTTAGAAGACATCTAAATAATTAATATCTAATCCTGCTAAGCTGACATTAATAACTATAATAACATAAATTAATCGATATACAGCATTATCGCACTGCTACTCATGTGACACTGCTGGTATATCTCTTCATTGGTGAGAGATCATGTATGTGCTGAACACCAGTGTGTGTGTGTGTGTGTGTGTATGCTTGTTTTGTGTGTGTTGTCCAGCAGGACGGACAGCAGAAGCGTCCCTTCTGCTCCTTCAGACCGCCGGCTTCTCCAAACACGCTGGTTCAGGATCTGAAGTGGAGTCCGGTGGACGCGTCCCGCCTGGCCGTCTGTCTGTCTGACGGCAGTATGATGGTGCTGGACGTCCAGGACTCGGTCACCGTGGTCGCTCAGCTTCCAGCATCTACAGGAATCACCTGCGGTCAGTGTCTGCTGCGTTTATTCTGACGCTGGTGTTTGTTCTCCTAAAATAAATGAGTTCTGCATCAGAAGATGAAACGCATGAGGCTTTTAGAGGCATTTTTTCATATCAGATGTGAAGCTTGTTGTACTCAGCTTTAGTGTTTTTGTTATGGCACATGTTTTTATGCACATTTTTTACATTTGTGCACATCTTGGAATTTCCATGTAGTATTTTTTATGCGATATTTCAAAATGCACATTGAATAGGTGGATGGAAACACATCTAGTCATGCATCTGCTTAACAGTGAGCTTATATCAGGGTTTCCGCAGGGTCTAAAATTTGCCATCATGATATCTGCAGAAACCTTGTTATATGTGTGTATGTGTTCATTTATTTCTCTCTGGACCTGCAGTCTGCTGGAGTCCCAAAGGGAAGCAGGTTTCTGCTGGGAAACAAGACGCCACTGTGGTTCAGTTTACTCCGGTAAGTCTGTTCAGTTTTATATATGTATATAATGTGTTAGTATCGCGCTTCTTATAATAATTACCATTCCTAAGCAGCTTTACAGAAAGGTGCACATTATTACTACATTACAGTGTTCTGATGGACTTGTGGACTTGTTTGTGTGTGTGTGTGTGTCTGACAGACGTTACAGGCCAAGAAGGTGATCCCGTGTCCCAATTTCTACAGTCAGGATCACCCTGTCAAAGGTATCATTCACTGTTGTTATTGGTGTGTGTCGGCACTAGGGTTGCCTCCTAGTGCCGTTTGTGCATGACATAACGGCATTATGGACACATTACTGTCTCACACTGACCGCCAAGTCACGGTCTGAGCAGTTTAGCTAAATAAGCCGGATAATTGTCATGCGAAAATAAGATTAAGAGTGTTACTAACCAATGAAAGACATGCCTGAGCTGTGCTTCTGCAGAATTCCCTCATTGTGTGTGTATGTGTGTGTGTGTGTGTACTCATTATCTTTGTGTGTGTGTGTGTGTGTGTGTGTGTGTGTGTGTTAGTGTTGGACGTGTTGTGGCTGAGCACCTACACTTTTGCGGTGGCGTACGCAGCAGCAGATGGATCTCTGGAGACGCCGCCGGAGCTGGTGGTGGTGTCCATACCTGTAAGTGCCTCGCACACATACCTGTGTGTGTGTGTGCATGAGTTTCTGTGAGTTTGGGTGTTCGCTTGTGCATTGGTGTATGCACACCTGTGTGTATTTCTGTGGGGTTTGTTTGTTTGTTTGTGTGTGGGTGTTTGTGTGTGTGTGGATGTTTGTGCGTTTGTTTGTTTGTGTGTGTGTATGTGTGTGGGTGTTTGTTTATTTGTTTGTGTTTGGGTGTTTATGTGTGTGGGTGTGGGTATTTGTGCGTTTGTGTGTGTGTGCATGTGTGTGGGTGTTTGTTTGTTTGTGTGGGTGTTTGTGCATTTGCTTGTTTGTGTGTGTTTGTGCGTTTGTGTGTGTGTGTTTGTTTGTTTGTTTGTGTGGGTGTTTGTGTGTGTGTGTGTGTGTGTTGGTTTTTTGTGCATTTGTGTGTGTGCTTGTGCATGTGTGTATGCACACCTGTGTATTTCTGTGGGGTTTGTATATGTGTTTGTTTGTTTATTTGTGTGTGGGTGTTTGTGTGTTTTTTTTGTTTGTGTGGGTGTTTGTGTTTTTGTGTGTGTGTGTGTGTGTGTGTGCGTGTATGTGGGGGGGGGGTTGTTTGTGTATAGGTGTTTGTGTGTTTGGTTGATGTTTGTGTTTTTGTTTGTGTGTGGGTGTTTGTGTGTGTGTGGGTGTTTGTGTTTTTGTTTGTGTGTGGGTGTTTGTGTGT